AAATAAATAAAATCTTTAATAAAAAAAATAAATAAATAAATAAATAAATAAAAAAAAATAAAACAATCTTTGAGTCAGGTGTTATCCCCGTTTTACAGATGAGTCATCTGGGCTCTGGAAGTTAAGTCACCTGCCCAAGGTCCCTCAGCCAGTAAGTGGAGGAACCAGGACTTAGAGCTAGGTTTTCAGACTCAAAAGATCTACGATAGTACCATGCCGTCTGGCAGGGGTCACACACTAAGGTACATGCAAGGGTCAGGCAGGTAATGCACGGGAGTGATGTGGGCTGTGTGGGGACCTTGTGAGCGCACAGCTTACCTGAAGAGGATCACCAGCACACAGCTCCAGCCTGTCATAGCTTCATCTTCCAGCTTTTGGGAAGAATCCCCAAATCTGGATTTGTATGTGTCATCTCCCATATTTTCAAGGTTGCCAACTAATTCATATTCTTATTTTATTGATTGATTGATTTAATAATTAATGAGGAAGATCAGCCCTGCGCTAACGTCCATGCCAATCTTCTTCTTTTTGCTGAGGAAGACTGGCCCTGAGCTAACATCCATGCCCATCTTCTTCCACTTTATGTGGGACACCGCCACACCGTGGCCTGACAAGCAGTGCATCAGTGTGCGCCTAGGATCCGAACCCCGGGCCGCCAGCAGCGGAGTGCACGCAGTTAACCACTACGCCACGGGGCTGGCCCTAATTCATATTCTTTTAAACACTGTGGGCCAAACAGTGCTCATCTTTGGGCTGGGTTCAGCCCTTGGGCCATTGGTCCACAGCCTCTGGTCTATAAAATGTCCAGGGCTTTATAGGCACCACAGGGAATACTTGAAGCAGAAAATGTTTCAAGGGCCTGTCCTGGTTGGAGGACCACTCAGAGCTTGACAGAAAGTACCAGATCCTGGGTCCCTCTGCCCTTGGCCCGCTGAGTCCCCAAGCTCTTGGATGTGAGTACCCCATCTCTAAAGAAGACAGCCTGAGTTCACCAAGCAAGGCACTGAGAGGGCTTTATAGCAGCCTCCATGACACGGCCAAGGGGAGCTGTGGAAAAGCCCACATCACCCTTAACTTCTCTGCCTTGTCTAGTGCTAGGTTTAGACCCAGTGCTCCAGAGGTCACTGCTGAATGCTGGCTGAGTTAGAAAGATTGTGCCCACAGGGTGTTCTGGGACCCAACCCTGCCCCTCAGAGATCTGAGCACAGTGGCAGCTCAGATCAGCCTACCTCCCCAGAGCAGGATACAGTAATAACCACCCTTCACCACCTCTTGGTTCTCTTGACAGTTTTAAACCACTGGCTGGATCTCGTGGCCTTCCCCCTCAGACTCCCCCGTGTCTCTGCAAAGGCCTCCTGGAGTTACTTCACAGAGCGGCAGCAGCGGCGGCACAGCAGCAGAGGGGAGCTGGGTCTGGGTGGGCATTAGATGGGGAGGGGGGTGGAGTGCTTGCTAGCTGGGCAACAAAGCAGCAGTGGACCTGCCCCAAGGCCACACGTGCCTGGTCAGGCTGGCTTCTGATGTTCAGTCCCCTGGGCTGGGACAGATTTTTTTTAACGTCTTGAAACTTAAATTCTGTGCTTGCAGGAGACTGTAACGTTTTTGTCTTTTTTTTTTTTTTAAACAAACAACCTCCACCTCCAGTAGCTGTGACTGGTCCCAGTGATTGTACCTTATTGGTCGCTGTGGGTCTGGGCTGGCCTGGAGCCAGAAGGCGACTACTGTTCCTCGCCCGAGCCACCCCAGGTGGGGAGGGAGGGAGGTGTCTGACTCCAGTTCCTCTCCCTTGCTCTCTCATTCCCAAGCCTCCTTGGGCCCAGTTGAAGTGGTGGGGACCCTCTGCCAGCTTCCTGAGCTCTGCCTAAAGATGGCCACCCAGCACTGGTTGGGGACAAGGGCTGAACCAGAGGCCATTAGCTACGCCTAGAAGCTGGGACCCAAAAGCCCGGCAACCTCTGGCTGCAGGGTCCACTTTGTGCCCTCCCCGCTGAGAGGGGCCCCTGTTTCGCCTTGTCTGTCAGTGCAGTGCCTGTGCTAGAGGTGGAGAGGTGAGTCCTCCAGAGCTTTTCTGGGCCCTCCCGCCTGCTCTGGCTCCTCTGCTCCCACGCTCGCTGTACCTTTTCTTATTCTGGTGGATCTTCCCTCCCCTAATTAAAGTCTCTTCTTGCCCCGGTGGGGCTGCATGAGGTCTGTGCTCTGTGTGTATATGTGAAAGGAGGGGAGGTGGGGCTTTTTCTTCCCCAAGATCATGTGGCTAGTGCTTGGGCCAGAGGCAGTCTCGTGGTTGGTCCCTGACATCCCTGCCAAGGGCCCCAACCCAGAGACCTCCATTGCAGTCTGGGCACCCCCCATTTCTGAAACTGCTCTCTTTGCCTGAACAGAGCTTTGGTCTTTTTCACATAATGAGCTCATTTGGACTGAAAGGTAACCTCAGAAAAATAATGATCTCATTTCATGGCTAAGGAAACAGGTTCCATGAGATGCAGCAGCTTGCCCCAAATCTGCCAGTGAGCAAGAAGGTAGACATCAAACCCAAGGCTTCTGCCTCTACTTGTGCTGAGACACTAATCACTAGCCACATGTGGCTATGTAAATTTAAATTATTACAATGAAATGAAGTTTAAAATTCAGTTCTTCAGTCCCATCAGCGACATTTCAAAGGACTCAGTAGGTACAAGTGACTAATGCATACCATGCCACATGGTACATATATAGAACATTTCCATCATAGAAAATTCTAGTGGACAGCACTAGACCTTCTTGGTGACACCTTGAAGTAAAAAAAAAAAACCACTTGTGTTTGAGTCCTGATTCGTGCTGATGAATTTGAACAAGTTATTTATATCTTGTGCCTCAGTTTCTTAATCTTAAGTAAACAATCCGACACAGTACCTGCCATACAGGTACTAAATTAACAGTAGCCCATCTTTCCACCAGCCCAGTATCCAAGCTGTTTGATAACTTCCATCGTGCTAGACACGGGGGATGACGTTACGCCTGTCTTGGAGAGACTTGAGAGGCTGGTAGAAAATTTAGCTGTGTAAAGAAACAGGTGCACTCAACTGTTTCATATTCACTAGTGGAAGTCTGTGGGAGCCCACGGGGTATATTTATGGAAGAGGGTGTCAGGAAAAGTTTCAGAAGGGTTGTCCTTTGAGCTGAGCTTTCAAAAGAGTTTCTTCCAGATGGCCAAAGGGGTCTCGAGGCAGAGGACAAGGTAATGGTGAGGGAGGAGGAGGTGGGGACGCCTTGGGCAGCTATCATCCCCTTTGCGACATTACCTCTGTGACCTCCCCCTCCTGCCTTGCAGAATTAGGTGTGCCCTCGTCTGGGGCACATGGCTGTGTTCTAGCTTTGCAGTGAGTGTTAAAGGTGCTCACGGTGAAGCTGGATGTCCACTAGAGTATGGCAGCTGCTCACTCAGTCTTCACAGGATGGCATCGCCTGGCTCAGCCTGCCAGAACTCTCATTTGTCACAGATCCATCCCCCAGGGTCCAGAGCCACTAAAACCTGATGAGAACAGACTGGATGGTTGCCAATCAGCCAGCCCTCTCCTGGAGGCATGCTTTTTGGGAAGCCCAGTCACCAGCCAAAGGGGGGTTTGGAAGGGGTGGTCACAGTGGTTGGGGTTGGCGGGATAGCTAGGTGGAGGACTTGCCTTCACTGTAAGGGCAGATCTACCAGTACGTAAAGCTGGCTTCTTGGACCACGGTTCTCTTTTCCCTGGACTCTGCTTCAGTGGTCACTGCTAGACTTTGCCTCTCAAACTGCTGTTTGGTATTTCCATGACCAATAGGCAACCTGTTTGAGTGATACCAAGGACTTATGTTTAATAATAGTGTTTATGTTTAAAAGTGGGGCTTCGGAGTCAGACTTGGGTTTCCATGCTGGCTTTGCTGTGTGATTTGAGGCAAATTATTTAACATCTCGGAGCCTTATTGATCTAACCTGCGGCTTTTGAGGATGATATTTTGCCACTATTTCTGAAAAGGTTACTTGCAGCCTTGTCTTGGGGACTGTGCATGACTGTTTTATTACATTTTTTCTGCAGTTGACTCAAACGATGTTTTTCTATTTCCAAGTTATTGCGGGGTTGGGTGGGGGGTTGCACACTCTGCACGTTATCACTGTTTCCCCTGTATACTGCCCTGGCTTTCAAGTCTATCCCCACGGACCTTACCCTAGTCCCATCTGCCAGGCCCTGCAGATCTGATCCGTCTCACCAGGCTCCAGCCACACTGGCTGCCTTTGAGTTCCCCAGAAAGGTTCTTAGCCTCCTCGGCGCTATTGCTGAGACTCTCCTATCCCTGGAATGCTATTTCTCCCCTTTTCCCTGGTCACCTCCTGAACTCCTTTGCATTCCATAGGCTTCCATTTAAATGTCACCTCTTCAGACAGGACATCCTTGACTGCCTTATCTCAAGTATGCCCCCTTCCTGGTTTCAGTTCATTGCTTCTTCATTGCTCTTATCATACCTACAGCTGTTGTATTTATTTGTTGCTTGCTTTTTGTTTCCCCTTCACTGGGCTTAAGTTCCATGAGGTCAGGGACCACCTGTAGCTTATTCTTCCCGTCCCCAGCGCCTAGCCTACTGCCTAGCACGTGGTCCTCTATAAATACTGTGAAATGACTGAAGCCTCAGGAAGTGCACAAGGAACCATGACGCCGATAGTAACTGGCAGCCCAGGACTCTGCGCTTCCACCTTCAGTGCCCCGGTCATAAAGGGTCTGGGGCAGGTGAGGGCCGGAGTTAGGCCCCCTGGAGGGAGACCCTGGACTCGCCACCCGCGGCCTGACTGTGGCGGGGAATGGTTTCCAAGGCGACAGCAAACAGGGGGCGGGGCTTCGGAACCCCGGCGCGGCGCTGCTCCGGAGCGCGAGGGAGCTGGGGGCCGCGCACCGGGGCTCCGCCGCCTGGTACCACCGGGAGGGCGGCCCGGGGTGCAGCTGGCCGCGGAAGCCGCAGCTGCCCCAACCACGCACCAATTCCCCCGCCCCATGGCCCTGGGCGCGCCGCTCCGGTCCCCGCCTCCGGAGACACTGCAGCAGGCCGGGAGCTCCTCCGCACGGCGCGACGGCTCTCCCGCAAGCGGCAAACGCCAGGCGCGCAGCCCCCATCTGTGCGCCGCCTGGGCCGCGCCTTCGAGTCGCTCGCTCCGCCCACCCCCGCCCAGGGCGCCGCGGAGCCCCGCCCCCTCGGGCGCCAGCACGAGGAGGATGTCCCGCCCAGGAACGTCCAGGAACGTCGAGGAACCTCGAGGTCTGTTGAGGAACGTCGAGAACGTCGAGAAAGGTCGCGGTCCGTTGTGGTCCGTTGAGGAACGTCGAGGTCGGTCGAGGAACGTCGCGGTCTGCCCCCTGGCCCGAGGCAGCGGTGGCAGTGAGAACGAGAAGACTTGGGGTAGAGGGAATGGGGATGGGGAGAAGAGTGGTGAGGGTGGGCATCCGGATGAAGGGTGGAGAAAGAGAAGGAGCGTGGGTATCTGGGGTCGGAAGAGATGCTAGGCTGAGCCCCCATCCCCACTCCGCATCTTTCTGCAGATTCCATTGTTCTCTGGCGAGGATTCTCCAAGGAGTCTGAAAACATGAGCTGGCTCAGAAATGCCAAGATACGCGTGGAGCAAGCTGTCAAGGTCAGAGGGGGCTGGAGGGTCTAGAAAGGGCCCTGAGAGTGGCTCAGCCTGCCTCCCTGCACTTTCTCCCATCCTTAAAAAACAAAGAAACAAAAACCTTGATCCCACACACATCTTCAAATACCTCCCCATGTATCAATACCCCTTCACAGCCAAACTTCTTGGCAGAATTGTCTACTGTCCCTGGGATTCACTCCTCAGTTCCCACCACTCTAGTCCCTGCTGTTCCCCACTCCCATTGGGAACCACTATAATCAAGGTCACTAGTGACCTCCAAGGAGCCAAATCCAGCAGTCGTTTTCTGTCCTAATCTTGGTTGGGTACCCTGTGTCATTCCACACTGCCGCCCCACACACCCTTCCCTCTTGGCCCTCTGCACATTCCTAGTTTTCCTTTTTCCCTCCCTGGCTGCTGCTTTTCAGTTGTCTTTGAAGGCTCCTCCAGACTTGCATAGTTCCCTGGATCCCTCCCCACACCTGTCTCCTTGGCTGTGAGTCCAGTCAGTGTGCTCTGCCCCCTCCGTGCCCTTTCCGTCCCAGCCTGTCCTCTAACGCCACACTCTGAACCCCTATTTGATATCTCCACCCAGAGAACTTACAAGTATGTCTAACACATGTCCCAAACCATACTCTTTTTTTTTTTTTTAATTTTTTGTTTATTGCAGTAACATTGGTTTATAACATTGTAAAAATTTCAGGTGTACATCATTGTACTTCTATTTCTGCATAGATTACATCATGTTCACCACCAAAATACTAATTACAACCCATCACCACACACATGTACCGATTTATCCCTTTCACCCTCTTCCCTCCCCCCTTCCCCTCTGGTAACCACCAATCCAATCTCTGTCCCTATGTGTTTGCCAAACCATACTCTTGTTTTTCCTGCCCAAACCTGCCCTCCTCCTTAGTCTCTGGTCTTCCCCATCTCTGGGTTGCTCAAGCCAGAAGTTTGATCTTTCTGTTCACTCACCCACACATCTAATCCCATCAGCAAAACCAGTCTCTCTATTTCAGTTCTTTTCCCCATCTCCACTGTAACCAGCATCATTCTAGCTATTGTAATGTCTCTCCTGCACAATCCACAACAGTCTTCTAACCAGTCTCCCGGCTTCCATCCTGTCCCCTCCCATCTGTTCTCCATACGGCAGCAAGCCACACATATAAAGCCTCTAATCACGTCACTCCCTCCCTTTGCCTCTATTGCTTCACACAACTCTTAATATAAAATCCAAGTCTGTTCCAAGGCTTGAGGGCCTTTCACAGTCTAGCCACTACCTACCTCCTCAGGAGCTCTCTCCTCACTTTCCGCACTCCACTCTCCTTGGCTTCCTTCCAGTTCCTTCTGACCTGTCTCTGGCCTCCAGACCTTTGCACATGCTTTTCCCTCCGCCTGAACTGCCATTTGCCCAGCTCTGTACGTTCATGGCTCCTTCTCAACCTTCCCTGACAGTGTATGTATTTCTAGTTTCTCTGGGTCCTCATTAAGCATCCAGTTCTTGGAGCCAAGCAGCCTGGATTTAAATCCCCACTCTTTTCACTCAACCTCTCTGTGCCCCTGTTTCATAATCAGTTAAATAGAGATAATAAAATCTATTAAAAATACATATTATTGTTAGGAATGTATATAAGAGCCTAGCATGTAGTAGGTGCTCAATAATTATTAGATATTACCATTATAATTATTCCTATGCATATTTATTTCTCTGCTTGTTTCTACCGTGTCTCCCCTCCTGGAATATAAAAATTTCCTGAAGGCAGAGACTGTAACTGTGGTTCACCATTATATTCCCTATGTCTGGCACTTAGGCAATATTTACTGAACAAGGATTCTTCTCTCAACTTGCAGCAAAAGAAGATCTTCATGATCCAAGGCCACTACCCAGTGATCCGGAGCCTCTTGCACCAGAGGGGCTGGGTAGAGAAGATCCATCACTTGGGGACCCCCCTGCCACCATCGCGGAAGGATCTGGGTAGCTCAGTAGTGGGTAACAGTGACACCACCAAGGATGGTGAGCAGTCCCTCCCTTTCCATAAGCTGCCCTTCCTGAGTCCCTTTCCTATGGTTCCCGCTGTCCCAGGGTTAAGGCTTTGGCAGGGGCCTCACCAGGCCTGGGCTCTGCATCCACAGAGGACGAAGACGAAGACAGTGCGTTGCGGCTACCACAGCTGTTTGACTTTCGTGATTTACTGGAATTTGATGACCTAGATGGGACACATGCTCTGATGGTGAGGGCCCAGGGGGCTGGCAGGGGTCTGCGTAGTGGGAGGGAGAGCACTAGAGTCCAGCTGGGTGACCTCAGAAAAGTCCTTTCCTTCTCTGGGCCTCGGTTTCCCCATCTGTAGTAAAAACTGCTTCTCTAACCAGCCCACAATGTGGTGAGGGGCATAGTGGGGCTCACACGAGGCTGTCCTGGGATCAGAACTCTGCTAGGTCACATCAGAAGCCAGCACAATCTCCACGCCTGGTTATTCCCCCTTCCAAATAAAAACCCCATTGTTCATCTCCTTTCTCTGCCCTTGGCAAGTGAAGGCTGGAAAGAAGGGCCTAAAAAGTTCTGAAAGAGGCTGATGTGATGGTGTAGAGGATATGTGTGTGTTGAGGTAAGGACATGTGGCTTCGAATCTTGGCACCACCACTTACTAAGTCGAACTATACCAAATTGCCATTTTTATGTCAGGAAGGGTTGAATGTTGGCAGTTTTATATGGCTCAACCTTGTGAGCGCTTGGACAAGTCATTGACCCTCCCTGTGCCGCAGTTCCCTCCTCTGTGAAATGGGGATAACAGGAGCACCTACCTCATAGGGTTGCGGTGAGGATTAAACGAGCTGCCATGGAAAGCACTTAGAACAAGGCCTGGCTCGTGGTGTTCTTGCTTATTAATAATCCCACGTCCCAGAGTTGTAGGAAGGATGGAGAGAAGGAGCCCACGAGAGAGCCTTTGTCATGTGCTATATGCCCATCAGCTTGTAGTCACTGTCCTGTCACTGGGCAAGTCACTGATGGCCGTGGGCCAGAACAAGGTATGGTATTCAGTTGTGAGGCTTTGTCACTGCCCAGGGGCACCTGGCCAGAGGAGGCTGCAAGCCTGCCTACTCTCTGTTCACCAAGTGCGTGCCCTGGAGGAAGAGATGTCTTTCCTTAGCTCATACAGAGATGGCAGGGGGGCCAGAGGCCATCCTAGAAGCATCCTCTGCTCTGCTCAGCATGGAGGGGAGAAGCCGTCTCCGACCTTGTGCTGTCTGCACCAGCCTCTTGTCTCCTCCCCCCTCCCCAGTCCCGCATGGTTCAGGCCCAGATCCCCTACTTCATCTGGACCACTCGGCGGCGGGACGTGCTGGACTGTGATGTTCTCTCCGAGGATCAAATGATAAACCACTATGCTGGGACTGAGGCCTTTACTACAAAGGTGGGCTCCCCAGGGTACAGGCATGGCAGCTTTCAAACCCCCCAGGCTTGGGTGGGCAACCCCGCTCCCTCCTCTGCTTGTCAGTAAGAGAGAGTTCTCAGGAGAGGGGGAGGTATATAATTCAGTGGGGTTTGGAGGCAGGCAGGCAGGCCTGGGTTCAAATCCAGCCCCTGCAGCATGTCTGGCACTTTAGACATAATGACTGAAATAGACTCCAGGGTCCAGACAGGCTCTGGAGCCAGAACAAACACCGAGTCCAATCACTGTGAGCAAGAAGGCCCTTACCCTCCTAAGCAGAAGATATCTGGCTCATGAACCCATTCTGTCTACCTGAGTTTATTAATAAGTGACTTCACCTCTCTCAGCCTCAGTTTCCTCTTTAAATAAGAATACCAGTAAGACCTATCTTCTAGGGTTGTGGCAAGAATGAAGGCTTCTTTTATCTTTTCTTTTTTTTTTGAGGAAGATCAGCCCTGAGCTAACATCCATGCCAATCCTCCTCTTTTTGCTGAGGAAGACTGGCCCTGGGCTAACATCCGTGCCCATCTTCCTCTACTTCATATGGGACGCTGCCACAGCACAGCCTGACGAGTGGTGCATTGGTGCGCGCCTGGGATCCAAACCCAGGTCGCCAGCGGCAGAGTGCGCGCACTTAGCCGCTACACCACGGGGCCGGCCCCAAGAATGAAGGCTTTCTAATTGGGATCTGCTAGTATATTATTGGTGTGGGGTGGGAAGGATTCCTAGAGGAGGCAGGTATTTAAGAATGTGAAAGGTTGGAGAGGAGGGATGTGGGGCATTCTCAGTAGAGGGAACCTCATGGATAAGAGCAAGTCAGGCGTAGCAAGTGGGGCAGAGGCTCTGAGAACGTCCAAGCAGGGTCTCCCTGAGCTGTCTGCATGTGTGCCGAGCGTGGGGAGTCCCTTGGAGGCTCTCTGGGCGAGTCCCACCCTGCCCACTCAGTGGCTCACTCTGTAGGTGGGTCTATGTCTCAATCTCCGGAATTTGCCCTCGTTTGCTGAGGCTGATGCCGATTCCTTCTTCCCGCGCTGCTACTGCCTGGAGGCTAAGGATGACAAAAAGGCCTTCATAGGTAAGGAGATGCCCAGCCCCATGCCTGGACCCCTCAGGCTGAAGGATGAGGGCTAAAGCCCTGGCTCATGTTGGAGAGCAAAGGGCCTCTCTCCTCATGTTCTCATCTACCTTAGCAGATTTCCTTCTCCATCCTCAATCCTTATCATTCCCTAAGTGCCCCCCTTAATGAGCTTCCTAGCTTGGTCAACCCAGACCTCCAGAAGAGCTCAGGTGGCTTAGCTTACATTCTAGAGCAGGTTCTAAAAGTTGGTCGATGAGTTAAGTTTGGAATCCAGAATAGGTTCCAGGCCTGTGTCCAATTCCACTGGCTTGATTGGGTTCCAAACGTAGAAAAGGCTCTAGACTTTGGGCTTCTAAGGCAAAATATTTTCCAACTCCGGAACGTGTTCTAAATTCAGGTCAGAATTTGGTTCCAGATTAGATGCTAGATTTCAATTAGTCTCCAAATCTGAAATAGGTTTCGGGCCAAGGTCTGGTTGTCAGGCTAAGATAAGTATCAAAAGTGGATCAGGAAGAGAAGAGAGAAATCAGACAGCAGGTCCAAGCATCATTCTGAAGGCAGAATATGAGCCAAGTCAGGTTAGATTCTGGGTCTGGCTCTACAACTGAAATAGGGGCCAGGTTCTAACCCAGGTTCTAGTGTCAGAAGTTAGTCCGGTTCTGGATGCAAATGGGGCAGGTCCATGATGAGGTTCCACAACCAGAACAGGCCTAGAGCCTAGGGACTGAGTAGGGTATCCTCTGTCCCGGGAACAGAGGACTTCTGGCTGACAGCTGCCCGCAACGTTCTCAAGCTGGTGGTCAAGTCCGAATGCAAGTCGTACTCTATCCAGGCAGAAGAGGAAGAGGCCCTAGGTAAGTACTTTGGTTACCTCTACTACACCACTCATTTATCCCCCATCCATCTACCCGTCTCTTTATCCACACATCTATGTATTATCCACATCCATCTGCCCATCTACCACCCCTTCCCACCAACCTATCCTTACATCTACCCACCCATCTGTCCATTCATCTGTCTACTCATCCATCTACCTACCTACTCACCCACCCTCCCACCAGTCTACATTCGCCTACCCATCCGTCCATCCATTCATCCATCTCCCCACCTATCCCCCAACTGTCAATCTACTCATTCACCTACCTTCTCTCAGCTCCACACCCGGATCCATCTGTCCACTCCTCCACCTTCCTACCTGTCCTTCCATAGACCCATCTGCCCACCTGCATTTCCATCCTCCCATCCACCAGTTCTCTATCCTCCAGTCCATCTACTCCTCCATTCTTCTGTTGCAATCACCCACCCACCTGTCTTCCTGTCCATTTGTTAATCAATCCACTGCCTCATTCAGCTCTCCCGTGGGCCTGGCGTGTGGCTGAGCACTCTGTAGGGAGGACAGACTAAGAAGGCATGGTGTGTGCTTGCCCGTGGGGAGCACAGGTCTCTGAGGAGGAGAAAGCAGGGAAATGAAACCGTGTAGTTTCACGTGGTCTGAGGACTCCTTGTGCCTTGTGGAGGGGGACACAGACAATCTCTCACCGCATGTTGGCCCAACCCATTGCTTACCTTTTTTCTCTCTGGACTTAGCTCCTACCTCAAAGCCCCCATCCTGTAATCCAGGGGCCCATCAGCCAGGAATTCAGGGAAGGTAAGGTAAGGGGCAGCTCTACTGGGAGGAGGAAAATCCCTGCCTCTTCCAGAGGGAGACCTCCCCATTACTGTCTCCTGGTTGTGTCGGGTGCAAAGAAGACTGTTGTGTGACAGAATCAGGAGCACAAGGGCCTCAGGTGTGTCAGAGATCCCAGGAGAAGAGAGGCTGCAGCTGTGTGCTGAGGCCATAGGTGCTGGGAGGCTTTGGGGACATTTAGGGTGGAGCCTCAAGTGAGTGACAGGTCCCAGGCAGTAGGGATGCAGTTGTGTACTGGGCCTCAGGTGTATTTGGGGCGAGGCTTCAGGTAAGTGACAGACCTTGGGGCAGTGAGGTGTATGTCACGTTATCTGCTTTGCATGTGGGATAGTGACAGGCTCCCCCCTGTTTCTACAGAAGACAAGAAGCCCAAGAAACAGGCCAGAAAGCTGGTGTTGGTGTCCTCGCAGTTTGTGGATGAGGCTCTGTGCGCCTGTGAGGAGCACCTTAGCAAGCTGGCCCATGTGGACATCGACAAGAGCCTGGAGGCCCCGTTGTACCTCAGCCCTGAGGGCTGGTCCTTCTTCCTCCAGCACTACTACCAAGTGGTCCAGTGAGTACCTCTGCAGCCTGGGCCGTGGGGCATGGGCAGGTGCCCTTATTCTCAGGGGACTTCCGTGTTCTGAGCTGATGCTTAGGAACAGACCTTCTCTGTCTAGCGTAGCCCACACCTCCTCCCCAAGCCTCCCCTTTTGTTTGCCCCACTACTTTCCTGCTCCGGAACCCTCAAAGGCTCCCACTGCCTTCATGATGGGGTCCAAACCACTCTTCCTGGATCCTAGCGTAGCATAGTCATTAAGATCACGGCCTGTGTTGTCAGACAGACCTGAGTTGAAGTCCTGGCTTTGCGACTTCCAAGCTCTGTGACTTTGGGAACATCACTAATCTTTTTTTTTTTTAAAGATTTTATTTATTTTATTTTTTCCCCCCAAAGCCCCAGTAGATAGTTGTATGTCATAGCTGCACATCCTTCTAGTTGCTGTATGTGGGACTCGGCCTCAGGATGGACGGAGAAGTGGTGCCTCGATGCGCACCCGGGATCCGAACCCGGGCCACCAGCATTGCAGCGCGCGCACTTAACCACCAAGCCACAGGGCCGGCCCATCACTAATCTTTTTGAGTGTTACTTTTCTGAGATGCCAAATAGATTTCAAAATAACATCTGCCTCAAAGGTGGGGTTATGTCCTCGGCACAGACTCATAGTTTTCACTCACAAAGTAAGACTCTCTTAAGCCATTTAGATTGTATCGTGGAGGCCAGTGTTTCCCAAAGTGTGTTACACAGGGTTCCAGTTCCACAGAATGTAAATACATTATATGAAAAAAAGGCTTTTGTGGTCAATCACGTTTGGAAAACATTGGGTTAAACAAAGTTAATTAAAACAGGTTTCCTTGATAAAGACTTTTCAGAACCCATTGGTGGTCTAAACCTCCGAGATAGTGTGCAGTATAGCCTGTACTTATGGGACCCCAGCCCCTCCAAGCATCCTGAGGGGTCATGTTTGCAGAACCCACTTTGGGAAAAGATTCTTGAGCAGAGGAAGGGAGTTTCAAGAGGAGACTGGAGCTGTTGTAGGGAGATTCCACTCAGTAGACATGTGCAGGAGAGACTGGAGGGAGGAAGGACCTGAGGGCAGGTGAAGGCTCAGCATCTACTGAGCCCTTCCTGTGTGCCAAGCATTGTGCCAGGCTCCAGAAATGAAACAGTCCTGCCCTCAAGCGGCACACAGCTCCAGTGGGGAAGCTAGCAGCGAGCCAAGTGGGGGTGCTAAGGACCTCAGGTGGGGTGGGTTATAGAAGGGAACGGACAGATTTAATGGTTTGATAGAGGAGACTGAAGAACTAATAAATGAACTTTGAATAAATGACATACTGAACAAACCCAGGTCATAGATAAATAATTCATTTGTATCTTTTTTAAATGCCATAAAATGAAAACTGGGTAACCCTATACTTTCCCCTTAACTACCAGAAAAGATAAAGCCACCCTTCTTAAACTAAGAATTATCCAGACTGAGTTAGAACATTAGGTGTAAAGAACAGAGGTTTTTTTGTTTTTTTTTTAATTTCTGGGTGTGGCGCAAGTTCTAGAGGGCTGTAGGAACCTCTCAAAAGTTGGGATTACATAAAATACTACATTGTATAACAGATATATATAGTGTTGAGTTGTTCAGTACAAATAGTTAACATTAATTAATTCATTCAATATTTACTCCTATGTTTCCCAGCTTTCTAAACCAAATCCATGACTCACCAGCCAGGCTTTTATCAAGGTTGACTTTCCAGAAAAACACTGGTTGTTTTCTTTTTGCTACATGTAAAATCATATTTTCACATTTGGTATACTTTTTCAAGTTGCAAATGCCCCTACAACCCCCATGTGACACTTTCAGGGCTAAATCACAGATTTACTCAACAGTTTCTTTATGCCATGGCCTATGGCAAAGTTTCCAGCAAACCTTCTGGAAATAGAAGGGTCAGGGCTTAGGTGTGAATGAGAGGCCTTGCCCAACCCCGTCCATCCGGCGGTCCCTGTTCCTGGCACTGGCCCAGTGGGGGCTGCAGCTGCTGCCTTACAAGAGAGAGAAGTTCCCCACGGCTGGAGGCATTCAGGAGGCTGAGATGTTAAAGGGAAGTTAGCATCCAGTGGCTTCCTTCCTGTTTAGTCAGAAGAAAAGGAATGGGGGAGTTGGGATGAGTTAGCCATCTGGGGCATTTTGTGATGTGGTTTCATCAAGACATTTTGTGTCCTGTAGGGAAGAGCGTCCCTCTTTGTCCATGAACCCCTGTCTCTACAGCCTGGTTGCAAGCTCATGCTCAAGTGCTTGCTTATCTAACCATTCATTCATGTAACAGACTTTTAGGGAGCAGCTAATAAGTGCCGGGTATACTGCTTGGGGATGGGAGTACAGCAGAGAATAAAACTACAAAAAATGTTCCTGCTCTTATAGAGCTTCCATTCCAGTCAAGGGAGACAGACAAGAACCAAATAAGCAGGGGTGGCAGGTGGTAAGCGATAGGAAGAGACATCAAGTGAGGAAATGTGTGAATCCTATGTGCTCCGAAGGAACTAGACTAGGCAGGGACCCACCCACCCACCAGTGTTAGGTCCAGAGTAGGAGAATGAACCCCAAAAAGCACCTCTGGGTGGAAGCATCAGGCGGAAAGGAGTTTGCATCCTGGCTCAGCCAGTTCAACATGTAGCCTTGGGCGAGCCCCTTCTCTCTCCAAGCTTCAATTTACACTTCTCTAAAATGGGACCAGTAACGCCTCCCCAGCAGGGCCATAGAGGGGCTTGGTGATAATACATATAAAGCCCTTGGCACAGTGTCTGGCACATAGTGGTGCTTCATCATGAGATGCTGGTGTGATTAAATTCTGCCAAAGGCAGTTTTAATGTACTAGAAAGGGAGGTGGCAGAAGGTGGAGTATTGGAGTGGGAGGAGGATGCAGTAGGTGGAATTTCCCCATCTTCTCCCATTCCAGCAGTCTGGGACGGCGCCCTGGGCAGGTTAGAATTTCGGGGGCAGCTTGAGGGTGGGGATGGAGGTTTGGGAGACAACGTACCTGGATCTCTGGGGTGAGGGTGCAACCAAGGCTAGTTGGACCATGGCCAGGGGGCTTGTGTCTCCCCTTGCCTTGTCCACCAGGCTGCCCCCAGGTCCAGCCTTGCCCAAGTCCCATCATCTCCCCACAGCGAGGGGGCAGAACTCAGGCACCTCAACACTCAGGTCCAGCGCTGTGAGGACATCCTGCGGCAGCTGCGGGACACGGTGCCCCAGATGGGCATGGAAGGAGATCACAACATCTGGATCGTGAAGCCAGGAGCCAAGTCCCGTGGACGAGGTGGGGATTAGCCCCTGCTTCCTACACCAGCACCCTATGGCCTGCCTCCCCCTCTAGAGGCCAGGGGCTTAATAGTGCAGGCTCTACTGGAGCCAAACTGCCTGGGTTCGAATCCCGGCTCTGCTACTAATACGCTGTGTGACCTTGAGTAAGTTATATCACCTCAGTTCCCTCACCTATGAGAGATGACGCTACCTCCTGTGAGTTGAGGATTAAATGAAGTAGCGCATCTAAAGCTCAGCACAGTGCCTGGCACAGAGTGATGACCCCATAAACGCTGGCTGCTGTGGTGATGACGCCAGCTCCTCCTCTCCTGCCCTCAGAGTCGGTTAGCGCTTTAGGTCGGTCTGGTGATGCTCATGTGCAGTTCTGCCTCCTACTGTCCATAATACTTTTTAACCCCTCTTCTGTGCCTCATTTTCATCATTGGTAGAATAAAGCCAACAATACCTGCCAGAGAGGATTAAATGAGTATAATATATGTGAAGTGCTTAGCTCCTGTGTTTTCACATGGTAACTGCTATATAAGTGCTATTATTGTTAGCTATTATTCTGGATGCTCAGCCCAGCATAAATGGAATTTGAACAGGAGAGCCAGCAAGCTGGCTGGTGCATTAGCCTCACCTTTAAAAACTGCTTCAAGGACTCCGGGATGTAGAAAACAGACTTTTGGTGGATCCTCCCGATGCTGCCCTTGGGCGAATTTTTTCATGTCTGGGTGAGGCTGCTTTCACAGTGTTGGCAGCTGCAGACACTGTGGGACACTCCTCTTGGGGATGCCACTTCACAACCAGCATCGTGGTCTTATCTCTTTCTACCTAGGAAATAGTTATGTTGGTTTTTTCCAGGTATGAAAATGTGTCTTTATTAAAAAAAAAAGGATCAGACAATACAGAAAAGTAGAGAGAAGAAAGCACAAGCCACCCTTGATTTCACTGAGATGACTTCTGTTCACCTTTCGGTGTGTTTGTTTCTACACTTCCTTCTACACATCTGGAGAGAGTGTGTGTGTATGTGCATGTTTTATTTTAAACAAGAACATCCTATTCCGTAGCCTCCTTTTTTCATTTACTGTATCTTTCCATATCAGTTTGTATGACTCATTTCTTTTTTGCACCTTTTTTCTTAAATAGATCTTGGAGATCACAGCATTTCAGTACATCTAGATCTGCCTTATTGTTTTTTCTTCTGTTTCTAGCTTGTGTTATGGATACTTTCAAACATACACAAAAGCAGAGAGGATAATACAATGAATCCCCGTATACCTAGCTCCAAATTTCAACATTTTCTCTCCATTTTTAGAAAACCTTAATTGAAATGTTTATACAGTATAGTTCATTGAAAAGAGTACACATTGTGAGTATACAGCTCAGTGAATTGTCACAAAGTGAACACACTCGTGGAAACAGCACCCAGATCATGAAATGAAACAGTACTTGCACTCTAGAGAGCCCCCTCCAATGCTCCTCTCAGTCTCTGCCTCCCCACAGTGGTAATCCCTATTCTGGTTTACAGTACCATAGATTAGCATTGCCTGTTTTTGAATTTTATATGAAAGTACAGTATGTACACTCTTCACTCTGTTTTACAGCTGCATAGTCTAATCTCGTTTAGATGTACTGTCATGGATTTACCTAAACCTTTTCTGATGGCTGTGTAGATGGCCGCTAGGTTTTTCCTATTTATTTGTTGATTGGTTGATTGATTGCTATTATAAGCAACACTATGATGAACATCCTGTGCAGATATCTTTGTGGCCTTTCCATTTGTTTCCTTAGGATAAATTCATAAAAATGAAATTGCTGGGTCAAAGGGCATGAGCAGTGTTAATCTTTGGTTACACAAGGCATCGTGTTCTTGGGAATCTTGGTGATCACTCTGGCCGTTTGAGAAAGGATCTGGCTTGGGAACCAGGCACAAGTTATTCTGTGCCATTGGCAGACAATCAGGCTGCTTTGGGGGCCAGACAATGAAGGAATGAGATTGATTTGTGAGTGTGTGTTTGGTTTGCAATGATTCTGATATGTGTCTGCATTAAATGATGCCTTATAAGCATAAGACTTCACTCATAAAACATAAAATTAAAGTACCATTTTCTGCCTAGGAGAATGGCAAAAATAAATAATCAACAGTGTTGGTATAATGTGGGCAAACACAACCTCCTACGCTCTTGCTGGGAGTGCATATTGGTGGAACGTCTTTGGTAATGTAAAATGAAAAAATGCACATACCTTTGGATCCAGCAAATGTACGGCTAGAAATTTATTCTACAGGTAACTAATAATAATGATATGAGTTAACATTTACTGAATGCTCACATGTGCCAAGCACTATTCTAAATCCTTAACATGTTTAAATGTATAGAACCCCAGAACTGAGGCATGTGTAGACTCTCCCATAACCTGAGGATAGTCATTGGACCTGGAAGCAGCACTTGGCTGCCACTGAGGAAGGATACAGATTTTTTATTGTATACCCTTTGGTACTGCCTACTTTTTGTTTCTCTTGTTTTGTATTCTGTTAATTATTGGGAAAAAAACTAATCAAAGTCAGATATGCACATAGTTTTTTAAAAAGCCCAATGCTATTTGAAATTTTATCTGTGCATATATTCCTTTTCAATCAACAAAGCTGGTTAATTTAAAAAAATTTTAAATCCTTAGCTGATTCTTATCTTTCCTAAAGGGAATAGGGTGGGAGACAGCCTTTCCCACTTGGCCCAGTCAGTTCTGTGGAGCTTGTGATGAGCTATCCATGGTCCCCTGGCCCTTCCGCCAGCCCACGCCTGACCTGATCCCTGACCACCTGTTTCCCCCTTAGGAATCATGTGCATGGACCACCTGGAGGAGATACTGAAGCTGGTGGATGGCGACCCCAGCATGATGAAGGACAACAAATGGGTGGTGCAGAAGTATATTGAGCGGCCCCTGCTCATCTTTGGCACCAAGTTTGACCTGAGACAGTGGTTCCTGGTAACCGGCTGGAACCCACTTACTGTGTGGTTCTACCGTGACAGCTACATCCGCTTCTCCACGCGACCCTTCTCCCTGAAGAACCTGGACAAGTGAGCCCCATCGCTTCCCCCCATGAACTCTTAGTCTAGTTGGGGAGCTGGCAAGGAACAGGAGGTTCCAGTGCAACACTGGGCTCCAAGCACAGACTCTGCAGGCAGGCAGGCCCTCCATGCATCCAACCATCCTTCCAGCCAACAGATACTTCCCGAGTGTGTACCCTGTGCCGTTCGCTGGTCTAGGCACTTGGGCTACAGCAGTGAAGAAAACAAGAGTCCAGTTCTCAAGAGTTCACATTCCAGCAGGGGGAAACAGACAAGCAATGAACATAATAAGTAAAATTATCTAATAGGTTAAAAGGTGATATGTGTTATTAAAAAAAAAAAGAATGTATGGGGCTGGCCCGGTGGCGTAGTGGTTAAGTTTGCACGCTCTGCTTTGGCGGCCCGGGGTTCGCAGGTTCGGATCCTGGGCGTGGACCTATGCACTGCTTGTCAAGCCATGCTGTGGCAGGCATCCCCCATATAAAGTAGAGGAAGATGGGCACGGATGTTAGCATAGGGCCAATCTTCCTCAGCAAAACGAGGAGGATTGGCAATGGATGTTAGCTCAGGGCAAATCTTCCTCACAAGACAAAAGAAAAAAAAGAATGTAGAGCAGGGTAGGGAGGTCAGGAGAAATGCAAGAGGACAGAGGCAAGTTGCAGTATTACCTTGGGTGAGAGGAAGCCTTGTTGAGCCTTGGGCTCAAATTCCATCTCTGCAGCTTCCTAGCTGTGTGACTTTAGTCAAGTGAAAACCTATTGAAGCTTCAGCGTCCACATCTGAAGAATGGAGGCAGTCATACAAAACTCATAATTATAGCTGTCAGTTGTTGAGCACTTCTTGTATATTATCCCAGTCATTCGTGAAAACCCAATGACTTGGGTCCTGTTATTCCCCCATTACAGATGTGGAAGGAGCACTTGGGTTAAATGACCTGCCCAAGATCTCACAGCTAGTCAGTGGTGAAGCCAGGACTTGAGCACATGTCTTGATGACCACAGGGCCCGTGCTCTTACCCACCTTTTTATCTTCCAGGCACCGGGAGGGTTAATTGAGACTATGCACAAAGCGTTTAATACTGTGGCCCCCATAGTCAGTGCCCTCAGAGAGGTCCTGAGAGATAAGACTGCCTCTGGCCCTAGAAGAATGAAATGGTGCCCAAGACTTTGTCCTCCTTGTCCTGGCCAACAGGGCCCCGTCTCAAGTTGAACAGTAAGGGTGGCCCAGGGCTGGTTCCAGGGTTTGCCTGCCCTCCCCAGGTTAGAGTGGGAGGGGTACAGGGAACCAGACCTCAGCTTTCTGTTCTCTCTCCTAGTTCGGTGCACCTGTGCAACAACTCCATTCAGAAGCACCTAAAGAATTCATGCTGTCGGCACCCGCTGCTGCCCTCAGACAACATGTGGTCAAGCCGGGAGTTCCAGGCCCACCTTCAGGAGATGGGGACCCTGAATGCTTGGTCCACTGTCATGGTGCCGGGCATGAAGGCCGCAGTGATCCACGCCCTGCAGACCGCCCAGGACACTGTGCAGGGTCGGAAGGCCAACTTTGAGCTTTATGGCGCTGACTTTGTGTTTGGTGAGGACTTCCAGCCCTGGTTGATCGAGATCAACTCCAGCCCCACCATGGAGCCCTCCACGCCTGTCACCGCCCAGCTCTGTGCCAGCGTGCAAGCCGACACCCTGCGCGTGGTCATTGACTGGCGACTGAACCACAACTGTGACACTGGAGCCTTTGAGCTCATCTACAAGCAGGTGAGGTGGCCAGGCCCAGGCAGGCCTCCAGCGAATTTGCCCCCTCTTCCAGGCGGTCCCGTAGTGAGGCACAGGGCACAGCAGTCAGACAGACCCAGTCCAAGTTCTGGTCCTGCCACAATGACTCAGTCCAGCCACTTCACCTCCTGGAGCCTCCGTTTCCTCATCTGCAAGGTAGAGATGCTATTACTATCTTTCTTCTGGGTTTGGGAGGAGGAAGTGAGTTCATACATGTGGATAATATGTCCAGAGAGGCATATAGCATAGTGTTAAAAGCTTAGGCTCTGGAACCTCCCTGAGTTCAAAACCCTGCTCAATAACTATGAGCTGTTTGACTTTCAACAACTTCCTAACCTCTGGGGGGGTCTCAGTTTCCTCATCTGTAAAAAAGGAATGAAAACAGTACCTACCTTAAAAGGTATGAGAATTAAATGAGTTGCTACAGGTAAGGCACTTTAGAACAGGGCCTGGCGCAGTAAACGCTACACATTGCTACTGCTGCTGTGACTTAATAAGGTTGTTAGGCGTCTCATGATAAACAGCATCACTGTAAAATGCCTGAACACATAGTAAGAGTCAATTACTCTTACTCAGTAATAGCAGTGGAAGCTGCTATTATTATCATCATTGTTTTACTCATCTTGTAATTATTTTACTCGCCTTGTTCCAAAAAGATATTTGAGTCTACTTATCAGAATAGAGTAAGATTTTTACAAGTCAGTCAGAAAACCGATTTCAAGGATGTCTGAGCTCTAAAAGTAATTTCTTGTGGCAGTTAAATTAAATATCCGAATCTTTTGGATTAGGATTCAGCTTCCATCAAAGTTTGGCCGCAGGGAGAGGATGTGCTGATGGCACGACCTGGGTGTCCTGGTCTTTGTCACAGTTGCTGATCATATCTTAATATATTGGCATTTTGCTTTCCAAAACTGTAAAGGAGCAAATGTAAGGGCAGGAAAATAAGACAAAGCCAAGGGAAAAGGGAACACTGTAGCCCCGTGGTTCCCAAATGCTGGTTCACAGGCCAGAACTGCCTGGAACACTTTCCGAAGGTACCAGTGGCAGGAAGCCTCACCCCCAGAGCTTGATCAGAATTGTCTGGCTTAGGGACTATGCTTCTGCATTTTTCAAATGTCCTAGTTCTCCCCAAAATCTTTAAAGCTGACTTTTCTTGTTTTATTTATTTATTTATTTATTTATTTATTTATTTATTTATGTGGTGAAGAAGATTGGCCCTGAGCTAAGCTCTGTCAATCTTCCTCTATTTGCTGAGGAAGATTAGCCGTGAGCTAACATATGTGCCCATCTTCCTCAGTTTTATATACAGGATGCCTCCACGGCATGGCTAGATGCTGGTCCATATGTCTGCGCCCAGGATCCGAACCTGCAAACCCTGGGCCGCCAAAGCAGAGTGTGCGAACTTAAACACTACACTACCGGGTGGCCCCCTTGTTTTTGTTTTTTAAACCAACATGTGATCAAGATTCACACTTTGCATTGGTTGTTTTATCTTGTTATTTTTTATTTTCATTTTTCTTTCTCCCCAAAACCCCAGTATATAATTGTATGTCATAGTTGCACGTCCTTCTAGTTGCTGTATGTGGGACGCCGCCTCAGCATGGCCAGAGAAGCCGTGCGTTGGTGTGCGCCCGGGATCTGAACCCGGGCCACCAGCAGTGGAGCGTGAGCATTTAACTGCTAAGCCATGGGGCCGGCCCCCTATTTTATCTTTTTAATCTCTTTTTTAATTGACACTTCCACTCAAAAAGGAGAGGCAGGGTGGAAAGTGCACAGGAATCACTGGTCCATAACACCTCTGAAATCCCGCCTGGAATATATTTCTAGTTTTGCTATTAGGACCCATTGTTACTTCCTAGGAGTTCTCCACGGCTCTTGCTTCCATCCATTGGGACGTTAGTTCAGCCCTGAATCATCCTTTCTTTGCCAGGAATATTCTCAATAGTTCTTAGTCTGTTACCTGCTCATAGAAGTTTGGAGGTACAAAAGCCTCTCTCATTCCATATTGCCTCTGTCCCTTTCAGTCCAAGTTGATATTCTTAAAAACCTTGAGGGTTTCTTATATATCAATTTATAATCCATTCTATTACACAAAAGCATGTCCACAAATCTTAGAGATAAGCTCTTCTCTCCTCTGTGCGGCTACTGTAGGACAACAACACTCAAAGTTATAGAAGCCCCACTGTTAACAGAGAGGGCCTACAACCCTCTCTGTTGACTCAAAATGTATTTAAGACTTACACATAAGACCTGTAGGTATGTCTTTGAGATGCTTAAAAGATCTGTAGCTGCTTTAAAGTGTCTATCAGGCATGACTTAGATCTCACTGAGGTTTTGGGGTTTTCTTAATTGAGATATAATTGACATGTAACATTACATTAGTTTCAAGTGTACAACATGATGATTTGATATTTGTATATATTGCAAAATGATCGCCACAGTATGTCTGGTTAACATCCATCACCACACATAGTTACCAATTTTTTTTTCTTGCAGTGAGAACTTTTAAGATGTACTCTCAGCAACTTTCAAATGTACGGTATTATTAACTATAGTCACCATGCTGTACATTACATCCCCATGACTTATTTATTTTATAATGGGAAGTTTGTACCTTTTGACCATCTTCACCCATTTCACCCACCCCCACCCACCACCTCTGGCAACCACCAATCTGTTCTCTGTATCTAGGAGACAGGTTTTTTTTAGATTCCACCTGTAATCAAGATCATATGGTATTTGTCTTTCTCTGTCTGACTTACTTCACTTAGCATACTGTCCTGAAGGTCCAACCATGTTGTCACAAATGGCAAGATTTCCTACTTTTTCTTTTTTTTTTTTTAAATTATATTATTTATTTATTTTGTGTGTGTGTGAGGAGATCAGCCCTGTGCTAACATCTGCCAATCCTCCTCTTTTTTTGCTGAGGAAGACTGACCCTGGGCTAACATCCGTGCCCATCTTCCTCCACTTTATATGGGACGCTGCCACAGCACGGCTTGCCAAGCAGTGCGTCAGTGCGCGCCTGGGATCCGAACCGGCGAACCCCGGGCCACCGCAGTAGAGCGCACGCACTTAACCGCTTGCGCCACCGGGCCTGCCCTCCTACTTTTTCGTGCTTGAATAATACTCCATCTATACCACATCTGCTTTATCTGTTCATCCATCAGTGGATACTTAGGTTGCTTCCATGTCTTGGCTATTGTAAATAATGTTGCGATGAACATGGGGTACAGATATCTTTTCAAGTTAGTGTTTTTGTTTTCTTCAGATAAATACTCAGAAGTGGAATTGCTGAATCATGTGGTAGTTCTATTTTTAATTTTTTGAGGAACCTCCATATTGTTGTCCATAGTGGCTGCACCAATTTACATTCCCATCAACAGTGCACAAGGGTTCCCTTTTCTCCACATCCTCACCAACACTTGTTATTTCTTGTCTTTTGATAATAGCTCTGAGGTGATATCTCATTGTGGTTTTGATTGCATTTCCCTGATGATTAGTGATGTTGAGCACCGTTTCATGTATCTATTGCCCATCTGTATGTCTTCTTTGGAAAAGTATTCAGGTCCTCTGCTCATTTTTTAATCGGATTGTTTGTTTTTTTGCTATTGAGTTGCATGAGTTCTTTATATATTTTGGATGTTAACCCCTTATCAGATAAAGGATTTGCTAATATTTTCTCCCATTCAGTAGGTTGCCTTTTTATTTTGTTGATGGTTTCCTTTGCTGTGCAGAAGCTTTTTAGATTGATGTAGTCCCACTTGTTTATTTTTGCTTTTGTTGCCTTTTTGTTGTCAAATCCAAAAAGTCATTGCCAAGACCAATGTCAAGGAGCTTACTGCCTGTGTTTTCCTCTAGGAATTTTATGGTTTCAGGTCTTACATTCAAGTATTTAATCCATTTTGAGTTGATTTTTGTGTATGGTGTAAGATAGGAGACCAGTTTCATTCTTCTGCATGTGGCTGTCCAGTTTTCCCAACACCATTTATTGAAGAGACTGTCCTTTCCCCGTTGTATATTCTTGGCTCCCTTGTCATAAATTAATTGATTATATATGCATGGGTTCATTTCTCGTCTCTCTATTCTGTTCCACTGATCTACGTGTCTGTTTTTATGCCAGTACCATACTGTTTTGATGACTATGGCTTTGTGATATAGTTTGAAATCAGGAAGTGTGATGCCTCCAGCTTTGGTCTTCTTTCTCAAGATTGCTTTAGCTATTCAGGGTCTTTTGTGGTTCCATACAAATTTTAGGATTGTTTTTTCTATTTTGGTGAAAAAATGCCATTGTAATTTGGATAGAGATTGCATTGAATCTGTAGATTGCTTTGGGTAGTCTGGGCATTTTAATAATATTAATTCTCCCAATCCCTGAGCACGGAATATCTTTCCATTTATTTGTGTCTGTAAATTCTTTCATCAGTGTCTTATAGTTTTCGGTGTATAAGTCTTTCACCTCCTCAGTTAAACTTATTCCTAGGTATTTTATTCTTTTTGATGCTCTTTAGTCTAGAACAGCCTCACTGCTTTTTTTTCATAGTTTGGATCTTTTGAAGGATCTGGTTGTTTTGTGGCACTGACCCACATTCTGGATTTATCTGATTGTTTCCTTGTGGTGGTGTTCAACTTGTTCTTCTGTTATCTGAATGTCCTGTAAACTAGAAGTTGGGTCAAACAGCTTGATGAGATTCAGGTTAAACATTTTTGGCAAGAACACTTGAGAGGTGGTGCTGGGTACCTCGTATGGCATCACAAGGCAAGGCACACATTGTCAGAGTGTCTCACGATTAGCGATGCTGACTCTGACCATGGGGTTAAGGTGGCGGCTACCAGGTCTCTCCTTTGTAAGCTGCATCCTCCCCTTTGCAATGATCAGTTACTTTGTGAGGTGATACTTTGGCTGTGTGCAAATGACAGATTTTTCTGTCATCCTTTTCACCTACTTGTTTTGATATCTAGTTTTGATTTTTGCCTATTATATTAGAGGTGCAACATGGTAAATTTTTTTTTTAATTTCTTCTTTATTGTGAAATTTTTTTTTTTTTCTGCGAGGAGATTAGCCCTGTGCTAACATCTGCCAATCCTCCTCTTTTTTTGCTGAGGAAGACTGGCCCTGGGCTAACATCCATGCCCATCTTCCTCCACTTTATATGGGACGCCGCCTCAGCATGGCTTGCCAAGCAGTGCGTCGGTG